GAGAGAGAGAGAGAGAGAGAGAGAGAGAGAGAGAGAGAGAGAGAGAGAGAGAGAGAGAGAGAGCAATGGCAGGAGTAAGGACAAACAACACAGGAAAGTAGGGATGGAGGGAAGAAAAGAATAGGTAAAGAAAAAATTGAAAGGGAAGGAAAGAAAGAAAACGAAGGGGTATGAAAGGAAAGGAAAGGAAAGGAAAGGCGATCAACGAGCCTAGCTCAGTTGGTACACCCATGAACTATGGAAGTACAGACTCAAGTTCGAATCAAGATGGAACTAGATGAACTCAACAAATAAAAGGAAAGGAAAGGAGAAAGGGACGGAAGGGGAGGGAGAAAGGAAGGGAGAAAGAGCGGGAGAAAGGGAGGGAGGGAGGGAGGGAAGGAGGGGAGGAGACACGGAGGACAAAAGATGGAGGAAAGGATTAACGCATCTGCACCACCAGTGCTAAGGACACTTTTCCCATACTCTAATGTCGTTCGGGTCGTATCCTTCTCAAGTTTTCAAATCAGTCTGTGGCGGTTGAGTTGGGTCTGACAAGATCCAGGCCTCCAGGGTCCTCAGCAATCCAGCTTCAGAATCTCCAAATAGTCACACTTACAAAGTACATGGAATGTCTCAGACACAATTCAAAGTTTGCCTCATATGGCTGTGAGACTTCACAATGAATACGTACGAAAGTATGCCACACAAAGAATACATACTAAAGTATGCCACATACAGCTGTGAGACTTCACACAAAATACATACGAAGCTTGGTGAACAGAGCAACAACGCATCTCAAGATTCTCAAGATAGCACCTGGACTTGCTGGTATAAATAGCTCTCTCGCCAATCCAGATGCTCAGGCCTGATACAGAACACTGAACAAACCTGCAGAATCTACAGACAGAAAGAAAATGGCACCAAGTGAAATGAACAAACTGGAAGACTGCCAGACCGGGACAGCAGTGAGGACACAATCCCCCCTCAAGTGAGAGTGGAAACAGGGACAAGCAGAAGTATACACAGAACAAGAAGTCCGTGTAATGGGTGGCAGTAAGGCAAAAGGGCACACCTTACGGAGCCAACCTATGTACCATGCCAACCTAGGAGAGAATCGGCATCTATGCGTCAATGTCCTGCCACCCTCTACAATTTGAAATGAATCACAACAACATACTAGGCACTCTTCCAAGAGGATTCTGTTCCTCTGCTTGAGAAAGTTTCTTTCCCGAATCACGATGTTGTTCACCTGCATCACATGGTCGCACTGTGTATGGGTAAGGTGGGGGCTGCGGTGACTCACTCTTCTGTGGGATCTTCATATGACTGGTCACGGTTGGAAACAAACCCCTCCAATGTTGAAACTGGCCCAAAAACAACCAAGGAAAACAGATAACAACAAATGCGAGTTAGGTTGAAATTCACTAGCACAAACTAATGGTCCGTGAATTACCACAAGGAATACATGGACAGAAAGCGCAACATTTTGCGCACGCTCAAGTGCTTGAGCCATTTTCTGTTTCTTATAAAGCCACTTGTGGTCAAAAGCCAAACAACTCTCATCCCAGCGAGATGTCAAGCCAAGCAAAACCTCCGCTGCTTGCGGACTCTCTCTCTGTGTCACCCCACTTTTACCCTCAACCTCCCACCCCAGCGAAAAGCTAAACAAGTGTCAAATCCCAACCACCACTGAGTTTCACCCAAGCCCTCATCATCACCACTGCTGTTCCACGCAGTCACGCCCATCATCGGCTGTCATCTCAAGGTGTGTGCAACTGGTATCATCACAAGCTCACTTTGACGAGGAGTAGGTCCATCTGCAGGCTGTCCTGCAACTGCTGCTGCCATCACTCGGCTGTGAGCTGATCATACCGTATGTATAACTGAACTAACCTGTAATGAACCCAGTCTTGTCGGAACGCCAATCGGCAATGCAATGGAAATCTGGACCCAGTGTGACTCACGAAGTCTCCAATCATCAACTACATGTCCAAGTCTCGATCAAATGCGCATGTCAAGAGTATTATCTCATCAAAGAAGAGCATGAGAGAGAGAGAGAGAGAGAGAGAGAGAGAGAGAGAGAGAGAGAGAGAGAGAGAGCGCTGACAGCTG